TTGGGTCTTTGAATGGGCTAATTGTTATTGTTTTTATTGTTGTCTTGTTGTTCTTTTGGTTATTCCTGTTCTTCTTGTTCTTGTTCTTGTTCCTGTTATTCTTCTTCTTCTTCTTCTTCGTCTTCTTCTTCTTTTTTCTTGTTGTTGCTGCTGCTGTTGTTGTTGTTGGTGGTGGTGGTGGTGGAGGTGTCGTTGTGTTGGTTTGTTTGCTTGCTTGTCCGTTTGTCTGCCTGTCTGCTTGTTTGTAGCCTGGAGTATTTGGAGTGCATGTCACGGCAAAGAGAGCTGCTTAGCACCGACTGCAGATTGCTGGCTGTTGCACATTGGGAACTTCCTGCAGCCGCAGGCCCGCGTTTGAGTCAGAGAGAGAGACCACTGTGCCCGGCGAACCCGGTAGCCATCCCGCCTTGGGCGTCCTGGCTAGGAAACTGCCATCTCGGGAGCCGTGGATTGTCAGCTTCAGCAGGACAGTCCTCTTCCGCTGCCCAAGTACGCATTCTTGGGTATTGGGTTGCTGGCAGGAGGATGAGGACCGCAGAAGTCAACGTGTCCTCGCTGGCCTGAACGCAGCAGCCCAGTTTGTCCGCGATCGGACGGAGGACGAAAGAATACGAAAGGCTGCTGAGCACGTCAAATGGTCCGTGAACAACGGTTTCCTCGAAGAGGAAGTTTATCAGAACGTGAGGCTCGTCCTGGAAGAGGAGGCAAAACTTGTTTCCTCACCGGATGCACTTGTTGAAGCTGTCGGACAAGGGGCGGCGCTGACGGCGGATGATGTCGACTGGCTCACGAGGCGAATGAAAGGTGGGGATGTGTTTTCCGATTTGGAAGACGCAGAGGCAGGTGCAGCACACGGTCCAAATGGTGAACCTTACTACGGTGCATCCTCCAGCCCTTGCGCGGCAGACAAGGTTGGCTGTGATGCAGGAGACTTCAGTCCTTCCAACAGCACTCAAGTCATGTCAAGTTCCACCTGCTTTGGCAGAAGGCCTTGCTTCGGCACCCTCTTTCTGTCCAATAGTTAGCTTACCTCGGCCTTGAAAAGGATCCGACAGCAGCTTTGGGACGGGTACACCTTGGACTGATGCAAAGGCTTCGAGCTGAGGTATGGCTTGGAGTCACGAACAGGAAGAAACGATTTGCTGTGAGCTGCAGGTGAAGTTCTGCTTTGACAACGAGCTTGCGCCAAGCAGCAGAGAAGCCCTGCAATGCGCCATGGCAACCTGTCTTCAATTTTCGGCATTCTCCCTAAGGCCCTAAGGGTACGTACATGTATAGGTCAAGGTTTGCGTGGCTTACATGTCAAGATCATCCGCCACTCATTGGTCTCTTTAGTCTCCAGGACAAGATCTCGAAGTTTGTTCCTGGCATCGTGTTCGTGAACGTGCAGTACACTGGCGTCGATGCATGCGGTGCGTTGCCGGCGGTTTACATGCAGTCAAACGGCCGCCGGAGTGGCAACGGCTGTTGGGCAGACATTGGCATGTCGACATCCATGTTTGGGGGGAATCAAAAGTTGAACTTGCAAGCTCCCGGCTGCGACAACTGCGGTACAGCAACCCATGAGATCCTGCATGCCCTGGGCATGGCACACGAGCAGCAAAGACCTGATCGGGACGACTTTGTCAGCATTATCTGGAACAATATCAAACCCGGAATGGATACTCAGTTTGCTATTCGCTCGCAAGCAGATACACAGCGGCCGTATGACATCATGTCCATCATGCACTACGCTTCCCGATCCTTCTCGAGCAACGGTCGGGATACCCTCGTCGTGAAGCCCAAAGGCTACGAGCTCTACACATCAGATCCAGCCAGGTTTCCAAAATATCGCATTGGGCAGCGTGTGGGAATGAGTACTCAGGATGTGTCTCAGCTCGCAGACCTTTATGGGTGCAGCCGGAGCAGCCAGTATCAGACCTGCGACATTGCGAGGGGTTATCTCGCGACTTTGTCTGCATAGGTCTGAAGGAGTCGTCTGGTGAGGTCTCAAGCACGATCATTGCCGTTGCTGCGACTCAACGCTGAGGCCACCAGGTTGGACCAGGAAGTTGATCCAGGCCACGCAGCTGCATTTTTGAGGGGTGTGGAGTGCGCTCATGCGGCAGGGCATGGTTCGGAGCACAGCAAGGGCGTGCACGTCTCTGCTTCGACTGCCGGAACCTCCGAAAGATGGGAAAAAACATACTTTCTCGGCCTAGATTCTAGATCTACTTGTCTCCTACAATCTCCTTCGCACACAAAAGGATCCGGAGACGTTATGCTCGTACTTCAATTGCAGACTCTTCTTGACCGCATAGCACCCCGGCAGTCGCCAGCAGAATCTTGCCGCGTGTCGAGTTTTCCTGTTTCCATTGCCCGTTGTGTTTCCAAAGGCAGGGCTGGGAGCCTCGACCGTTACATGGTTGTACGCTCTTATAGGCCTGCCTTCTGCGTTTCTTTTCGACAAGGGCAAGCGCCAGCAGCCATACGGGTTATGGTTGTTCGTCAGCCTGAGCGCCATCTTGCCGAAGACATCCGTTTAAAGGCAAACTGCGGACAAGCTGAGGCTCAATCGCTCTGATCGGTGTGCTGGTTATTGTCGCTATCTGCTGTGGTGGCCTATGCGTTTGCTTCGCTCGTGGAAGCGAAAGCTCAAGCAGGACGTACAAGGAGGGAGACAGTAGCCGAGGTGTTACGGCCACGCCACCAAGCGCCACAGATCCGGAAGAGCCAATGCTTCAACCGGGCCCTCTGCAGCCAGGGCAAGAAGAAAAGCCTTGTGTACCGTGTTGCACCCTATTATGACGAGTTTCTGCTGGCTTCAATTGCCCAAAGTGGCACAAAGCATCGTTGAAGCTACTTGGCGGAATAACCAGGGTGCCCATTGTTCGACCCGATCCGAGGGTGTCGGACTCTCGTCAGATGCATCGTTCTTTCGGGTCAAGTTGAAGTGTGGCCTTTCAGCACCAGGAATCATGGTATGTGTGGAACATCTTGTGCAACATCGTTCGAATATTCAGCCTGCGAATAAGCAAGATGTCAGTCATAACATCCAGCGACACCCAACTGGCACCAACGATCCCGCAAGTGGCATTCCACCTTGGCATGCGATACTGAAGTCTTGGTAGCTCGCTTGCAAAACCTGTTCCTCCGCTCAACGCGCAGGTTAAATAACACAGAGGTTGCTGGTGCTTGCAGTTGACTTTGGAGACATGGCAAACCATCGGCATTACGTGACTGTGTGCCTGTTCGAAACTCAAGCCATCTTCAACGTGAAGCGGTTGCGACCAACATGCATGTCACACCTGCATGTAGCCCACTGAGGTTGGCTTCTGAAGGCGAACTTCGGTGTTGTCCATGCAAACTGACACGGTGATCGTACAAACGATCGATGCTGTGTGAGCTAACGTGCTGTTACGTGCAGGTGAAAGACAGACGGGCTCAGAAGAACCGAGCAAGTTGTATTGGCTTTCAGTATGGAACTCTGTGCCAGTTGTATGATTGATGCTACTTACATGAGCGTGCCCTGTCGGTCGAAACAGTTTTAAGCACACTGCTCGGGCAGTTGGCAGTGGAAATACCGGCATTGCACGAGCTATGACAAGTCTCTGTTTCACTTGAGGAGCAAAAATGAAGACGCATCATGGCTCTGAGTAAGCTCACCTTCTTTGCATCATTGTGCATTCGACATGTTGTTGTTGGAGCTTCGCTCAGGACCCGGACGCTGTCAGCATGCTTCCGGCTTCCAGACGATGAGGCGACTGCGAAGATCTTTCAGACTCAAACACTGGGGATGCCGGTGCAAACTCGAACAGCATGCACAACTCTTCACAGCGAGCGCTTCAGAGTTTCCAGCCCAGCCCCTTTCCACTCCCTGTCCAAAGCAAATGTGGGAGGTAGGCCATGATCCATACGGCAAACATGGAAGCAAGGAAAGTCATCATGCATGTCAACTTGCGTGCTCAGAACCAGGGCAGCATGCCGTTCTCACCCAGGTTTCACTTCTTTCGTTGGCGATCGAAGATTCTGCTGACGAAAACGCGACGCATGCTTCTACATGCTAGACAGGGAGTGATCGGATTGATGGAAGAGTGGTCGAAGGGGCAATGGCAAAGGGGGGTTTGGAATGAGGGATCAGTGACGGATCCGGGGAGGCGTCGGGCTCACAAACGAACGGTTTAGCATGAAGGATATGTTCTGGATCTCGTTATGATGTGGCTTGAGGGACCGTGTTCCTGATTCAGGTGCGTCCCCGCCTTTCAGGCTTTAGCTTGATTAGGAATCACATGAGCAGCTTTGAACTTGTCACATTACCGCTTTGTTTTGGTTCGGAGTTTTGTTGGATCAATTCGGCCGACAGTTCCATGGTCTGCAACTCTGTGCAAAGTTCCTACAAGAATCAACTGTCAATCTGGGGACTAGCCGCCGTGCTACATGTCTGTTTGCACGGAGACAGCTTGGCCAGTCACCTGCCGCCGACTCAGTTCAATTGCGGCATCACATGCAGTGTTCCTCCATGTTCGATGCAAGGCACTGGGGATCTCGATGGCAGATCCGCCATTGCCTCCAGCCGGTAGCAAAGCGAGCTTCCTTGCTGTTGCCTCTAGAGCGTCGCGTGCAGCCTCACCCGAGGCTTTCCATGCGGACCGTCGCAGCTCGTCCCTTGCCACAGCTGATGCGTGAAGAGCCACATAGCTTTCCGAAGCCGCCCTCCCTTGCTGATCTGCTGTCAGTAGTCTCAGTAGTATCTGTCTTAACCTGTGTCACAACGCTTCATTCGACAGGGAAAACGAGAGAAGACAGCCTGTTCTTTTCACATTTGCGGCTCGAAGTGCTCGAGCCTGTCGTCTGACGATCGTAAGACTGATCAGACGAGGACAAACTACAGTCACAGGCTCCAAGATGGCAGGAGCCTCAGATTGTGAGATGCGGGGAGTCCTTACTTGTGCGTCGTCACTGCAGGGCATGGAGCAGCCTGAGCTCCCCGCCACCGGGTGCAGGTGGGAATGCAAGACGATAGAAGTGCGAGGTTGGCTTTCGGTTGTCGAGGGACCCCCCTTCGGCCCCTCCCGCTGTCTCCGTATCCATGTGTTGTTGCTCCAGGTTTTTCCGAGGGCTCGGTGGCTTGGGAAGACATCTTGGACGCGCAGCAGCGAGTGCCGACACAGGCTCTATGTTTCAGGGAAGCATCGAAGTGCAACGACGATCATCCTCTTCTCCAGTTTGCATTTCTTTTTTCTGACCCAACAAGTGACGTAAGCCACCTGGTAGTACAAACGATCTGTCGCAGGAGTCGATTCGAGTTGCTGCCCGCTTTCGGCCATTGAGTGTGTTGGAGAGGTCGGCACAGACGCGGATTGCTCCCTGAGCCCACTAGCCTCAAGCCCAAAGCCACGGAAGATTAATGCACCCTGGGATGCAGGGAGAGTGGCGAGGAGACGCTTTGTGTGAAGTTCGGTCGAGATGGCCAGTCGTGCACACTGCGAATGCAGAAGCCACTAGACTAATGATTCTAATGGGCACAATGTCAGAATGCTCGCAGCAACATAGCCATGGTGTTCGCCATTGCCGCTACTGTCTTGTACCAGTTTAATCGTGGTCGCACTGATGGTGGTGGCAGCACAGCAGGCGCAGCAGAACTAGGAACGGAATGTGTCACAGGAAGTCTGCCATGATGGCCCGACGAAGAGGAACATAATGAATATGATGGTGATGATGAAGCAACTTAGAACCTAAGCCAAGCCAAAAGTAGCAGGCATGACAAGAAGTTAGCAATTAGCATTCCAGTATGGATTCTACGTACATAGCTTGTGTCTTCTAGTCTGCGCATCCAGTATGCATGAATGTGCCTCCAAGGACGCATGGAATCTGCGACTTTCCGTTTGCGTACGACCACCTGTTCGAGCCAGAAGCATCGCAGTACGACGTCTACAGGGCCGTTGCGCAGCCGATCGTCGAGGGAGTCATACATGGTTCCTGCCTCGCAACACAGTCTCGAGTCTCAATGCATGCAGTGCCAGAGCAATCTGTAGCCAGCTGGAGGTTACAACGGAGCAATCCTAGCCTACGGGCAGACGGGCAGCGGCAAGACACACACCATGCTTCTTGATGCAGTGACGGGCATGTTCATAGCTTGTTTGTCAGCCGGCAATTGCAGACCGTGCAGCCATGCACGAGGTTTGGGCCCTTTGCCACTGAAGCCTTCGTGGATTCCTGCGTTTGCGCCCAGGGCGAGATATGTCTATCTTGATACCGTGGCGCCACTTTGATTTGGTGTGCTCTTTGTCTTCTTACAATCCGATGAGGACTTTGACTCCCACAGCCTCGGCATTATCCCTCGCGCGCTGCAGGCTGGAAAACTTCGATCAGGGCTCAAAGTGTGGTGGATTCATCGATGAAGGAGTTGGTGGATTATGCCGAAAACACGGACGGCCTGGTGCAGCTGCGCGCTTCCTACGTCGAAGCCTCAGAGCCTGCCAATGTTTGGACGCGATGCTATCTGCTGTCTCGCTTTGGTCCCTTGTGTGGCAGGTAGAAATCTACAATGAGAACGTTCTTGAAACTTAAGCCGCAGATCAGAACCCTCTTGATTGCAAAGTTGTGCGATCTGGCAAGATTCCAAGCACGTAGATTTGATGTTCCTGCCAGCCTCTGCCCAACTGTCTGGGTTCGAAGGACCTGCTTTCACCGCTGGGCGGTGTCATCCCGGGTGACATGCCGTCTTCTGCAGTAATGCGTCGGAGAACCCAGCGTTCACTTGCCTGAGTAGTTGCCCGACAGAGCGATCCGAGATGTCTGCAATCAGCATGCGCTAGGTGAGCAGGCCAAGGATTTGTTCCTGCCCACTGTCACTGAGACACCTTTCAACTCTGTGCGAGAGGCACAGCCTGACTAGATCGTTCTGCTTGACAGATCTCCTGACCCCAGGCCATGGAAGTCATGCGACTGGGGAATCGGAAGCGACACCAGGCACATCCGCACCAAGCGATCGGATCGAAACTTGCCCCGCTCAGAACGGAAGCGGTTTCCACGAAGTTGCAACCGCCTCATGTCAGATGGCAAGCCTGGTGGCAGGCCGAAACGAAGATGAACCGACACTCCTCGCGGAGCCATGCGGTTTTCATAGTCACCGTCGTGAATCGAGCCACTCCCCTGAATTGTGCATTCAGGCAATGGCAGAGCCTGACAAAAGCCCAGGTAGATCAATCACGACAGAAGTTTGGCCAACTCTATCTAGTGACTCGGCAGGAAGCTCTTCGGAGCATCAAGCCAGAGCAGTCTCTGTCAAGGTGGACCTTGCAGGCTCCGAGCGCGTCATCAAGACCGGCGTCGCAGGGACGCATTTGGTGGAGGCTCAGCCGAAGCAGCGCGAGCCCGGAATTCGCCGGAATGCTGCAAGTAGTGCCTTTCCGCAGCAGACAGGCGGCCGGTTTGCTTTGGAGATCCCCGTGCAAGTTGAAGCTTGTGCAGGCTAAGAACATCAACAAGAGCCTCCTGGCACTGGGTCAGGTGATTTTTGCTTTGGCTCACAAGCAAAACCATGTTCCGCCGGGGCCTCTGGAAGACTTCGCTGCTGCATGCGGCTGTATGCGGCTCTTGAGCCACTGCACCTACATGTAGTCTATACGGATGCCATATGCTCGGACGACTCACGACTCATTGTTGGCAACAAATGACATCACTCCATGCTGGATGCCGCAGATTTGCAGGTATCGAGACTCCAAGCTCACGCAGCTGTTGCGGAACTGCCTGGGAGGAAATGCTCGGACAGCAGAGTCTCGGCTTGAAAGGGATGGGGGCCCTGAGGCCCTTCGGAAGGGGCTCGGGGAGCTTTTGTGGCAGGTGTTGATCACCGTCTCTCCTCACAAAGACAATGCCGGCGAGTCGCTCAGCTCGCTTCGCTTCGGCGCGCGTGCCTCCCTGGTGGAGAATGCGGCGACTGAGAACGTGGCCGAAAACGCCTGGAGCCCCTGCGTGGAGCGATCAAAAGCTCTCGTGGAGGAGTTTGGCCGAGGTTCACGAGCTGAAGCGCCTGCTGGAGCACGCTCGCCAGGCCCCACCGCCCAGATGGCACAGCTCTGGTGACGGAGTCTTGCATTTTGCTGCTAAGGACTTGGCAGAACTCCGAGCCTCGAATCGGCGTCTGCAGGCCGTAAGCCCAGTAAACCTGCGGCTTTTATTTGGGGGCAACTTGAAGCGATCCGCACTGGCACAGGCCGAGCTTTCGGTGAGATCAGCGCCATCAGGCCAGGCAGAGCCTTTTCGGCAGAAGCTTCGTGTCCAATTTGAGTCCATTGGTCCATGCCAGGTGGTCACGACGGTAAAACTGTGCCGCCGCAAAAATGTCTCGCGGTATGGGAACTGCTTCCGTCGCTGGTTTGTCCCCTCACCCGCGGCATCATGAGGCAGCACAGGGGAGGGGGGGGGCATGCTTTTAAGGGAGAGAGTCGGAAACGGGCAGGGAACCCGTCTTGGCCTCCGATGGCTGGAGCTACGAGCGCCGCGCCTTGGAGAAGCACATCGCCAGAGCTGGAAGGATCATGCCGGTCTCACCTGTTTCGGCCTCGGACAGCAGTCTCGACTTCATTCACGTTAGACCTTGTCGATATGACTTCTTGTGCACAGCTGCCCTGAAATTTGACAGCATGAGCTTGCCGCACTAGTCACTAGCATGCCTGCTTGAAGAACTTGCTGCCTGAGAACATGCCAAGGTAACAGGCCAGCGGCTTTCCACGCGGCTTTTCACGCCGAACCTGCTTGCAACTGGGCAGCCTTGGGCATTTGGGATTTGAGCAGTGCAAGTAGTGAAGGTTGCTAACCACGGACGACGAACGGCTGAGAAATCATCGCAGCTTGTGGTCCCACTGCAGTCTGCAAGCGATTTTTCGTCTTATCCGAGCTTATCCGCTTCACATATTGGCACGATGCCATAGTGTTTGAGCATACCGGAAAACGTGCAGGTGCGAGATCCATCAAAATACTCTTTCACCAGTCCCGGATCCTCAAGTGACTTCTAAGGTTGACTCAAGGCCTTCATGCAGAAAATGGGTTTAGGATGTCTGAGCTGTGTCATGAACACACGCCAAGGTGAGGCAGCTCGTGCGCGCGGTGCCCGGTTCCAGGTGAGTTTCAGAGGCCTGCAGTTGCAGCTAGCAGGCTAACAGCTACTGTGCTGAACGCTTCCCGGCTCCGTGCACTTGAATGTGTTGGAGGGTGTCCAGGATTGAAAGTTTATCGAGCTGAAACCAGTGTGCACAAGCAACATGACAAGATTACTAGACTCAGCTTTCGAGCGCACCAGGGGACCTCCACATCAGAACACTCCAAGCAAGCACTTTGGGCCACCGGTCATCGTCTTGTCTCAGGTCAGTATCTTCCGGACCTCGGGCCGCTGGAGGAGCCGCTGCCGGTGATCCAACTGCTCCACATTTGGCACGCGCTTCGGCATAGAAACCGAGGGGTTTTGTTCTTGAAAGTGCTCTGACGCATCAGCCCTCAACTCAGGTGCAGCTGATCCTGTCCTTCCTGGACTTCCGATCACTGGCGCGTTGTGAGGCCGCTTGGCCTTCTTTCCGGGCCATGGCAGAGGACAAGGCGGGAATCTTCCTTCGACTACACCTGAACCTTTGGACCGTTGGGTTCAATACCGCAAAGTCATCATAACAGGTTGCAGCGGCAGCAGCAGCAGCAGCAGCAATGCTCACAGCTTTTCAAAATATAGCATAGACAACAACAGCAGCAGCAACAACAACAACAAAGGAGTAGTCGTAATGAGAGCAGCAAGAACAGTACTTTAATGAACATCATTCTGGAATCGGAGACAGGTGAACGATTTCTAGCGAAGGTGCTCGCCCGGCGGAAACTTGGAACCCGACGAAGGTTTGGGGGCAGCTTCTTCAGCGAGACTACCCCGACTGCGATGTTGAGCTTCTCGCAGCGCGCAGTACCTATCGTGACTTTGACAACTGCAGAGGTTTGCTGGGTTTACCGCTTGAGATGTCTCTTCGCTGTGGAAGCCGCGAGAAGTCGCTGCAGACATCGGACACTCAGGCGAGGAGGCGGTAAAGGCGGCTGCCCAAAAGCCGGCCGCAGGAGCCCTCGAATTTGCCGTGCTTAGCCGCATGCCGCATGCCTGAAAAGCAGCTTTGCAGCCAGCTTAACGCAAGCACAGGAGGCCCGAAGGACAAGGCAGATGGAGGCCGTGAGCTGCCCACAAGCATGAGTGCATGTGCTCAGCTCAACTTGGTAAACGACCAAGCAAATGCAGAAACTAGTGTGGAAAGTCGATGACTAGCTAGCTAAACTGACTAACTTCGGACAGCAGATTAACTCGCACACAAATCAAACCGAGAAAGCCACAAGTGCATACGCACCTAACAAAATGTAGAGATTGGTTTACTGATGTCGGATATAGCTTTATTAGTATAGCATTTACGTGTATGCTTGTACGTTCGTATGATCATGTGAGTATGTAAAGCTACAACGCGTATAGTCGCACAGTCGCAGTAGAAGCACAGCGCGACACGACATGCGCCTATATCCGTCCGTCCGTCCGTCCGTCCGTCCGTCCGTCCGTCCATCCCTCCATCCCTCCATCCCTCCATCCCTCCATCCCTCCATCCCTCCATCCCTCCCTCCCTCCATCCATCCATCCATCCATCCATCCATCCATCCATCCATCCATCCATGCGTCCATGCATCCATGAATCCACCCTATCGATCCTTCGATCCGTCGATCTATCTATCTACTTATCCATCTATCTGAGTCAACAAGCGCGTGAATACACGTATGCAAGTACAAGGATATGATGTGTTTCGTGCATGTACACATGCAGCCATGAGCCCGTCCGGCACTCCAGCCACCCTCAGCCTTGGCCTCAGCTCGTCGTGGGCTTCGGCTTTTCCAGCCGGGAAGTTCACTTTGAGGCTGGGAGGGGCCCGTGCCTGTGTTTGGGACTTCGGGGAGGGTTTAGCCGCTTGTGAACACACTGTAAGTATAAACAATGATAGTTCGACAGTTAGAAAGACCGATCGAACGGTATATCGATAGAGAGATAGAGACATAGAGCGAGATAGACAGATCGACAGTCAAACAGGCAGACAGACAGGCAGATAGACAGATAGCCCAATAGAAGACAGTATAGCATAGATGCATAGATCGGTTGGTATATAGATAGGCAGGCAGGTAGGTAGAGAGAGAATCAGGGACAGATAGTGCTGGTTGAGTTGATCGCGTGCACAGATTGCTTGAGCAGTCCTGCAGAGAAAACTGGATGCAAACCCGCTGCATTCGTTATGTTGTTACTGCTTTAGTTTGCTCTGCCACGTCTCTCCGTGCAGTGTACCTCATGGATGCAGAGGCAGTTAGATAGATGATAAATAGATGGGTAGACTCTGAGATAGGTAGGTAGGTAAGTAGGTAGATAGATAGACAGATAAATTGGAGATGGGTAGGGTTGTGACGATTGCTGTTGTTCTCCCAACCAGTCCTGTGTAGATGGCTGTTGGCTGCTGCTGGGCTCGGCGACCATTCAGTTCTGCCTGAGCTGCTTTGCTACGCAAGGAGTGTACAGATTGCCCTTCTACGCCATTCAGCAGTGTAGCATCTTTGTGCACGGTTATAAGGCTCAAAGAGCACAACAGCGAGTTGTGTCGCAGCCTGCATCCACTAGCCTTGCAAGTTTAATTAGCTTAGCCAGTCCAACAGGCCTCTCAATTAAAGAAGGCACGAATTAAGAGCCTCCATCCCAATCCGGCACTATCTTGAGGCAAGCGGCTTAGGATTGAGAAGTCACTGGGGCTGGCAATGGAGATTCCCAAGGAAGCTCTGGTAGGTAGGGTCAGTGCTGGCCATCACCGCCCAGCTCTGGAAGAGCAATTGCTCCAACAGCCGAGCATTGCATGAACTCATCCACTGCCGTGTTAGCAAACATGGCATGCACTTGCACGAATGCCTGCAGGTTCACAGGCAGAGGATGCAATCAGCCTTCTGACCGGCTCCCCGTTTGTGCAGACCCCAGGGACCAGTCCTGTTGGCTTCAAGGACAAAAGGTGCAACGAAAGCCCCTTCCACCTCTCATGCCCATTGCCTGCCCATGGCCTGAAGTATGCAAGAGCTCACAAGTTGATATTGACAAAGAGATGCCCCGTTCAGCCGTCGCCGTCGCTTCGATCGCCTGGGGCGAGGGCCATGCATTGCAAGATCCGGCTGTCCCACACCTTTCTATGCAGTCCTCGTAGCGAGCGTGCTTGCGAGCCCGGCAGCATACGCTGCGTGTGTGTGTGTGTGCAGAAATCTCGATTCAAAGTGTTTCATTTCCCAGAGCGCTCTGCTTGTACACGGGCAGTCACACACACACACACACACACGTCCGATAGATGAGCGTTGTCGCTCTCAACCTGCTCTGACCAACTTGAACTTTAGATAAAAGCTCGCAGACGTATTTGTTGTAGCTTCTCATGCTTTGCTCTATGCAGCGTTTTGGCCGTCGAGCTTTGAACCTCTTCGTGGCCAACATAGAGTGCTTGACAAAAGCATGGTGGCCGGTAGCAAGCGGCAAGCACTTAAAAGGCACCGCTGCGCTCGTCATGCTCTCGAAATCTTGTAGCCTGCAGCGCTTGATCCTTATTCGTCGACATCTCCTGTGGCGATGACGCAAGTCCGGGACAAGCTGGCGGAGCCATGGAAAGGCTCCTACTTGCATGAGGGCAAGCGGAAGTGTGATTGAGCGTGCGCTTAGCTGAGCAGGCGTGAACCTAGGGGGCTGGCTTCTGCTGGAGCCTGGTCCATCCTATCCACTCTTCACGCAGCATCCTTTGAAGGACAAGAGTGAGGTGCGCTGTTGCATGCTGTTGCTGAGATGTTGTGACAACAGCAGTTGAGAATTCTTGTCTCGTGTCCTCTACAAGTACGTACCGGGAAAAACGAGCAGTACTTCTCACTGCATACCACAATTCCACTGGTCAGAGAGTTCCGCAACAGGCACGGTGCGAGTGGGACATCATGAAGGCCCCGTGCTTTTGCAGCCAGTGTGGATTATGTGATGTCAGAGGAGGTCGCACGTGTCAATTGCTTTGCAGGGCTTGATTGCCAAGATGGGCAAAACCGGAGCAGCCGAAGTGTTGCGATCTCACCGGGAGACTCACATGACTAAGGCAAAGCCCACGCACCTGCTGTACGATATTCTATTTGACTGGGCTTTCTTCCCGGGATCCGACCAGGCAGACTTTCAACGGGTGCGAAGCTGTGGTCTCAATGCCGTGCGCTTGCCATTCGGCTACTGGGTCGTCACGGAACCCAGGCAAGGGGTTGGACCTAACCTTCAGATGCTCTGTGCGAGTGCGACGCGAGGCCCAAGGAGCCTTATGTCGGTCCGGCGCTGGAGTACATCGACCGGGCAGTCTCTTGGGCTGAGGAGCAGCAGGCTTCGCAACTGGACGGGTGTCGTCAAATGTCTGCATGATCAGGAGTTTGATCTTCAGATCGTGCTTGATTTGCACGGATGTCCTGGCGGTGAGAGTCCGGAGGCAGGGAAATGGCGTCTGTTGCATCTTCACCGCTCTTATTGGCTCAGGCTCCCTGCGGCCGCCGCCAGCGCCCGGAGAGTCGATGGAACTGGAAGCAGTGGGATTTCCAGGCCCGATTAATTATAGGTCCACAGTAAAGCAAACCATAGCCACGTGACATCTGTGTGCTTGCAGGCCTCACTCAAGGTGCTGCAGGCGGGGGATCTTCGCCAGAGCATGTGCGCGGTGCTCATGGAGATTTGGTTCCTCGCATGCAGATCCTGGCAAAGCGTTATGCCCAGCACTCCTGCGTCACGGGCATCGCGGTTTGCAACGAACCATCGGGGGAAGTTCCAGCCAAAGCCCTTATCTCGTTTCTTGGACCTGCAACTTCAAGATTTCGGCTTTCTCGGCCGGGGGGAGCCAGAAAGCCCCCGGAAGGTATTACTCGAAGGCTGTGGACGTCATACGCAAGGCCGGGTCTGACTCCTGTGCCGACACCGGACGGAAATTACCCAAGATGCGAAGATGCCCCTGGTCATTCAGGCAGGAATGGACGCACGGAGGGTTGCTGTGGTGCTGCCAGTGTTCCAGCGCCCGGAAGGCCTTGGATTCTCATGTGTGTCGTGATACTCGTGTTTGCAGTTGGTTGGGGATGGGTTGACCAGTGAGGTTTTCCAAGGATAGCGGGGTTCGGCAGACTTCCCCCCCCCCCCCCGTCTTGTAAGGACCTGGGCTCAGCGGTTCTTTTCGTGCAGGGGGTCTCTTCGGGCTTGATCGTTTTAGGTGCCTATGCCTATGCTTGGTGGTTACTAAGAGCGTTTTTCGTTGCTTCAGGGGGCAGCAGGCTTTTTTTGGGGCAGGGTTCCTGGGCGGAAATATCAGCACAATGTCCCGCTTTCCCGCCCGGAAGAGCTCTACGGCGCGATGGGGCTTTCCGGAAAGTGTTTGATCGTCTGATCGACACCTTTGGCCTCAAGTTGGGCGAGGACACGTTTACTCGAGTCATTCCCGAAAGGTTAAAACCAAAGGGCCTTCAGACATCTGTAAAGAACGGCAAAGTAAGTAGAAGATACATCGGCAGGCATGGGTGGGTAACAATCTGCTAAACTCTTGCAAGAACCATTCGAAAGCAAATCAGGCGCTGGCAGTGCTTGTCACATATGCATGCCAATGAATGTCCTAAGCAGAGACAGCAGCCCGTGCCTGTTTGCTTGTGAAGGTGAGGAGGACTTCATCAAAACATGGTCCAAGTTCACGAAAGGAAGACATCGCAACGTGTGCTTCGATGTGCACTGCTACCACTGTGCCTCGTCTGCCACGACAACTCTTCCCGTCCGAACGGCAGCCGAAGATTCCAAGGTTTCGAGAACCAGTTCCATGGCAAGACTTTTGCGGAGCAGCTTCGAGCCGTGGAGGTGCGTCGCGTCGTCTCAGATGCAAAGAGAGTATTCGGGCGGGAGTAATTTCGCGTCGCTCAGCGGAGGCCAACACCGAGATGTTCAAGCAGCATCCCATGGTTGCAGGCCGGGCCGGCGGAAGGGGACGAAAGCCCGAAAGTCGCTTAGGATTCTGCCCTGTAGCATGAGAAGCTGCCCTCGAGGAGAGTGGTCCCTGGGTCTTGGCCAAGCCACCTGGTGCACCTGTGGCGATTTGGATGAGGCCGGATGTTTCGGGGTCAGCTTTGGTACTATTTCGTGCTCTTGTGGTTTTGTTTTGCCGAATGTTGAGTGGCACGGTCGTCTCAATATAGGCGCAAGTTCTGCCGAATGTTGAGTGGCACGGTCGTCTCAATATTGGCGCAAGTTCGATGCCAGCGGTTCCCACAAGTCAGAAGTACGAGTCATGAATGGAACCAACAGACCGTAGTGTGGTGGCTGAACATGCCGGCAAGCTGGGGGACAAGCAATTGGCACAGTAATGACCCGCAGAGCGCTGTGACAGCATCTGCAAACACCCAGCGAGGTCGGAATGAGGCGAGTATGTTGTTTTGTTCTGAAAATGGCAGTGTATGTAAGCAGCACCGCAAGCGTGGACTTCTCGGTCCTGTAGTGAATGTATCCAGTGCAAACAAATATTGTCGTGACATCATTGAGTTCTTTCGAATCGAGTTGCAGACAAGTTCCTCTCCGAGTATGTGTGTCCTTGACACCCTACCCCGATCAACGATGATCACTCGATTGCTCCAAGTGTGACAACTAGAGGAGCGCTGGACATGGGTTTGGGTGAAAAGTTCAGACGAAGGGTACTGCTCCGCGGGACAGTCATCACTGCACTTCCGCCGCAAGGCAAAGGGAACATGGTTGAAGTCAATTTCGAAGAGACATGCGCTTTGCGATAATCGCTGAACGCCATTTGCTAAGCCACTGCGGCAATTCGACCCAACACTGGAGGATTGGTCAGAACAAGCGGGTGCATTACAGAGTAATGTAGAGTTTCATTGCCATCGTTTCTGACTCTATTTGGAACCTTGGTGGATTGCAGTGCTCTTCGCTTAAACTTGCCATGTAGGCTCGCGTCCATGAAACTGCACCGGACATCAAAACAACACGATCAAGTTAAAACCACTGAAATCCATGAACCTAGTGGGTTGTGGCTATGACTGAACATGCGAATGAGGACTTGTCTGAAAATGAGAACGATGCTACTGATGCCGTTGACGATTGCCTGAACACGGACGGCAGTGTTGGCTTTGCTTTGGCCCTGAGGACAGCGTCCTGAGCATCTTTGGTGCTCAACAACAAGAGGCTTTCAAGCCCCTTGGAGTGCAACGCTTCGAGCTGGGAGATCTGTCGGCTGGCTGCGGGATGCTGAGGAGCGCCTCTCACGGCTCCTTCTTCTGGAACTGGAAGGAGGATCCTGAGAACAAGGCGCGAGAGAGAGAAGCTCCATGCTGCCTCAAAACAAGGCCCTTCCTGCCAAGCATGCCCAAGCCTGCGAGTGGATCCCCCCTGAACATGAGCTCCGCCACGTCTCGCCGTCTCGCCGCGGTTCCGATTTGGGCAGGAGTGGCACTTCCAGCACTCCTGCGACTCCGGGCTTCTTTCCCGGCCTCCATTGTCGCTGCCTCTCTGGGATCGCCAGGGTGAGGACCCGTTGGAGGAGAGGCCAAAAACTGGCATTCTAAGGCTCTAAGGGAAAGTTCAGAGTTCAGGAAGTCCTTCTCTCGTGGAAGAGGGGCTTCGCTTTCTTGGCGGAATTCATTGCGCACGCTGTCGGGGTCGGTAAAAACCGGGGAGCGGTGGAGCCGCGAGGAGCGCCGAGGAGCCGCGAGGA